TGTTGCCTAAAGATTCTTTGTAGTTTCTCTGAAACTCCCGCCACATACGGTAAGGACACCCCTCTCCTCCTACTTTCTTCTGTCTGTTGGACTGTGTCTCTGGCCTTTCTCGTCCTTTGGGCTTTAGTAAAAGACCACTTGGGGTAGCCACATCTGGAAAGTGCTCTCTGAACATGTTTGGTTTCTCTGTTCTTTCCCTCCGAGCTAGTGGGGACCTGGTGGGCTCGGTGTTGAAGCGTTCTAATGACCCCGAGTTTGTGTTGTAGCGGATGATTTGAATCAAAAGCCAAGTACTGGTCAGTGTGAGTGGACTTTCTGAAGACCTCAGTCTCTAATTGTCCGTTCTCCAGTATGATGACCTTACAATCTAGAAAGGCGAGTTCACTCTCCTTAGCATCCTCGCGAGTGAAATTTATAAAAGGGTCCACCGAGTTAATGTGTGCTGAAAATGGTTCCACTTCCTGTTTCTTTAACTTAACCCATGTATCGTCTACATATCGAAACCAATGGCTTGGCGCTGTCCCTTGGTAAGAGGCCAGGGCTTGTTCCTCCAGTTTCTCCATATACAGATTGGCCACTATAGGAGAGACTGGGGAGCCCATCGCACAGCCATGAATCTGTCTAAAGAAGGTGCCTCTAAATTGGAAATACGTGGTGTTAAGACACATTTCAATGCTAATGAGTTAGGAGGGGTGAAACCTGCACTCCACTTGAGCATCCCAGCAGACAATAGGTCTGTGACATGCTAAGGAGTTAGGGTCGTTAGCCTCAGCAGGGTCGTTAGACCTGCTCCCTTCTACATCAAGCAGACCTGAGATTGTTTACGAGTTAGTATCAGGGTTAGGGTGTGGCTTACCACACCCATAGGTTATAAATCTCCAACGCGCGGTCCGAGAATTCATTCCCTGAAGAAGTCCCCAGGTTGAGGACGAAACGTCGGGAAAACTTGCTAAGAAGTACAGATGATGGGTGAGAAACCTTCCTTTGCTTTGACTAATCCCTGTACGACTGAGGGCTTACACAAACGTAACTGCAGATAACGAAAAAAAATTGTTTTAGGTATATTAAAATTTTCGGTTAGTTGCAAGAATGAGGCAAAAACATTATCAATAAAAAGATCTTTAAAGGTGTGTAACCCTTTGCTGTTCCAAATCTTAAAAGCAGAGTCAACCATGGACGGTGGAAATGCATGGTTTGAATACAAAGGCGCCTTTATTGACATAGTATGCAGGCCAAATTTTTTCCTACACTGTACCAATATTCTTAGCGAATCATAAAGCAGGGGGTTACATTTGAAATGGTGAATTTCTAAAGGGAGTGATGTTGTTAACAATGCTGGCAGAGAGGTATTTCCACAATAATTTTTCTCAATATTAACCCAAGAGGGAGCCACATCCTTAGTCCAATACAGCATATTTCGTGTATTTGCTGCCCAGTAATAGTACTGAAAATTTGGCAGGGCTAAACCACCTAATGATCTCGGTCTTTGCATAAATTCTTTGCGGATTCATGGAGGTTTACCATTCCATATGTAAGTTGAGATAAGTTTATCAAGAGAAACAAAAAACTTTTTCGGTAGGTAAAGTGGGATACATTGAAAAAGGTACAAAAATTTTGGCAGAATAGTCATTTTAACAGAGTTGACACGCCCTATCAATGATAATGGTAAGTTATTCCATCTTTGTATGTCAGTTTTCATTTTCTCAACAAGTGACATGAAATTAGTTTCATATAATAATTTAAAATCTTGAGTTACTTTAACACCTAGGTATGTTATAAAGTCTGTTTTAACTTTGAAGTTGAAATTAGAAAATGAAATTTCTTTAGCCTTTAAGTTAATTCCAAGTAATTCACTTTTATGCATATTCAATTTATAACCAGAAATGCGGCCAAAATCATCAAAAATGGTAAAAGCATGGGGGAGAGAGCTCAAGGGATCTGATATGTACAATAACAAGTCGTCTGCATATAAAGACAGTTTATGTTCTTGTCCTGCCCTACTAACACCCTTAACTTTTTTATCCGCCCGCAGTTTAATCGCCAGGGGTTCTATTGATAAAGCAAACAAAAGTGGGGATAAAGGACAACCCTGTCTTGTACCACGGTGGAGTGGGAAATACGGAGAACATAAGGAGTTTGTTCGTACTCGAGCCATAGGTGAAGAATAAAGCAAGCGTATCCAGGATATGAATTTGGGGCCAAAGCCAAATTGGTCAAGAATATAAAACAAATAGTCCCACTCCACCCGGTCAAACGCTTTCTCAGCATCAAGTGACAGGGCTACCTCCGGAGTTGTGTTTGAATGTGTACATAAAATATTGAAAAACCTACGCAAATTAAAGAAACCTTGCCTTCCCTTGACAAATCCTGTCTGATCCGACGATATCAGGGAAGGTAAGTAATTATCAAGGCGAAGAGCAAGTAATTTGGATAAAATCTTGAAGTCTACATTTAACAATGATATAGGTCTAAAGGAAGAACATTCCAGTGGGTCCTTATTTGGTTTCAGCAGTAGTGAGATGCTGGCTTGTCGGAGAGTGGGCGGAAGGGTTGATTTATCGAGGGACTCTATGTACATATTTCTCAATAAGGGAGAAAGAATGTCTTTAAAAGTTTTAAAAAATTCAACAGGATAACCATCCGGCCCCGGTGATTTTGAACTTTGCATAGCACTGATTGATAATTTAACCTCCTCAATTGATATTGACTCCTCTAATTTATCTTTAAAAACTGGCTCTAAGGTAGGAATTGCTAAGTTTTCAAAAAAATTATCGAATAGCTCTTGTGATTTTAAGGATTCAGACTGATATAGAGTATCATAAAATGTTTGGAAGGTATCATTGATTACCTTTGGATTTATAGTAACCTGTCCATTTTGGGTTCTGATTTCGGATATTTAGACGTGTGGATTCTGACTTCCGCAGCTGATGCGCTAGAAGTTTTGAAGCCTTGTCCCCATGCTCGTACCATCGACCTCTAGATTTCTGAATCAAACGTTCAGCCTGTTGAGTTGTTATCAAATTGAATTCAGTTTGTAAAACCATACGTTGTTTGTACAACTCTGGGGTAGGTGTCAAGGAATGTTGAGAATCTAATTTAGCAATTTGTCCCGTCAACTCTGAAATACGATTTTGTTTCTGCTTTTTATTATATGAACAGAAAGAAATGATCTGTCCTCGCAGAAATGCTTTTAAACTTTCCCAAACAGTACTATATGCCATACCGGGGGTTAAATTTGACTCTAGAAAAATATCGATTTGTTCACCAACATATTCCACAAATGTTTTATCGGATAATAGCAATGGATCAAGTCTCCATGAATACATAGAAGCTTCATTTGGAAAGTTAAGTTCTAGAACCAAAGGGCTATGATCAGACACAACTATACTTTCATATCTGCAAGATTTAACATTTGAGATCATTTTCTTATCCATAAAACAATAGTCAATGCGTGAATATGTTTGGTGCACTGGTGAGAAAAATGAGTAGTGTTTTAAAGAGGGGTTAAAATGACGCCACACATCGACCACTCCATACATATTCAGATATGATTGTAAAATTCGAGCGGATTTTGAGACTGAAAGAGGTTTTGTAGATGATCTGTCGAGAATTGGGTCCATCACCGTGTTCATATCACCACAGAGTAACAAGTAATGTGTATTGATTTGAGGTAAAGAGTGAAGAAAGTTCTTGAAAAAATTTTGATCATCCCAGTTAGGGGCATATACATTGGCCAGAACTAAAGGAATATTAAACAAAGATCCAGTTACTATTATGAAACGACCATTAGGGTCAGATATTGTGTCGGAAGCCCTAAAAGGAGTGTTTTTATGAATGAGAATGGCAGTGCCTCTCGCTTTTGCGTTGAAATTTGAGTGGAAAACTTGTCCCACCCAATTTCTTTTTAGTTTTGGTTGTGATAACTTTTTGAGGTGTGTTTCCTGTAGAAATGCTATGTTTACTTTGAGGTGTAACAGATGAGAAAGTATCTTATTGCATTTAATTGGATGGTTCAGTCCTTTTACATTCCAACTTATGAAGTTAACATGACGGCCATTACCTCCAGCTTGAGAATTATCTGATAGAATAACCATGGTTGTCTTCAAGTGAATGAGTATTCCAGTTGGCATGCGACATTTCTGCTACTACGGATACAAAGAAAGAATTAACTACAGTAAAAAAAAGTGCAAGGCGGAAACAAAACAGAAAAAAACACACATAGCCCCCCACCCCCCTCCCTAATATCCCTGGTGTTGTCCCCAATCGACAAACACAACATGCCCCAAGTGTCCTCACTTCTATTGAGAGTCCTCTTCTTCTCAACCACAGCCCCTTCTTTAAAAGGCAAATAAAATAACCTGCACAATTAAGAGTGCGCACAAAAAATGAGGTAAAATATACAAAATATCAGGAGATCCATTTATGATTCACCCTAGTAGGAGTGAAATAAAAATAAATAAAAATAAAGGTTAAAAAAACTGAAATAATAATAATGACAAACGGTAGCTGTGAATAAAATTAAATTAGTGGAGAAATATAGGGGATAAAACGAATAGATAAATAAAATAATCATATATAGACCTGATAATTGCTGTGAATTAAAAAATAAATAATAAATAAAAAATGTTACAGAATTCTTCACAGCTAAAATATCTTAAAAAATAGTAAAATATGGTCTAGTGATCAATCTGTCAATAACGTGATTTAAACTAAAAATAAATAGAATTGGAAAAAAAAACTAGTAATAGAAAAAATAATAGAAAATATATCAAAAATAATGTATTAAAACAATAAACAAAAAACCCAAATACTCATGGATTGCACATCAAAATCAGTATTATTTTACTAATGTAATTAAGAGAAAAAATGTAATCAGACAAATAACTTATTAACTTGTAACCCTTCAGATAACACAAAAGTAACTTAACTGTAATTGGATTGTCTTTAAACATTCATGCCATCAGCAGAGTAGTCGTTTTTTTTTTTTTTTTTTTTCCCCTCTAAACTTTTGAGTCAATGTAATCTTTCACACTCTTGGGGTTGTCAAATACTTTCGTTTCCCCGTCCCAGGACACTCGCAGCCGAGCTGGATAGAGCAGACCATAACGAACTCGATCCTTCCCCCGGAGCAGCGCTTTCACCTCGTTAAAAGCTGAACGGCGTCTGTTCAGTTCAGCACTGAAATCCGGGAAGATGAGGAGCGGATTTCCACGGAACTCCAGTCGGCCTTTCTCTCTTGCAAGACGCTGAATGCGCTCCTTCTCTTGGTAGTAGTGAAAGCGGACGATGAGTGGTCGTGGTCTTCCTCCAGCCGCGGAGGGTTGAGCTGATGTCCTGTGGGCTCTATCCAAAATTGGAGGTTTCTCCAGGCCATTAGGACCACCGAGAACTTCGTGTAATAAGTCCGCAACAAACTTCGTTGGATCTCCTTGTTCAAGCCCCTCGTTGATGTTTAAAAGGCGTAGATTGCACCGCCTGCCCCTATTTTCGATGTCATCCAACTTTTGAACAAGTTTGTCATACTTGTTGCTCAGCTCAGTGTAGTTAGCCTCTGTAGCTGTCACCCGAGTATCAAGCTCAAAGAGTTCTTGGCCGTGGTCACGGAGCTTATCTGTACAGTCATCAAGCACTTTATGAATTGGCGCAATTGCTCGGCTTATTTCTTCCCTTAAACCATCGTTTTCTTCTCTAATTACTTCTTTTACGATGTCCCGGAAAGCCTGAAGCATGTTAGCATCGATGGTAGCAGTGTTAGCCTCTGGTGCGGGGCTATTAGCCTTAGGTGTGCCTGACTTGCTAGCTTCTGGGTTGCTAACCTGCGATTTTCCCGATTTTGGAGGCATTTCGTTGAAGTTTGTGTCCACAGGACGATGCTGACGACGAAAAGTATTATCCACTCACCAGAGGAGTACTTTGTATGAAAAGTTATGCAGATTTTTATCAATTTTGAAGAGGATTTCGGGACCTCGTGGTTTGCACGTCTACCTCATAGCGCGCCCCTAGTGGTCTCTCTCCTCTGGCAACTTTCTTAAAACAACAGCTAACATTTCCTTTTCCCTGTTGCTTAGGGTTTTACGGAGCAGAATCGAACGCCACCGACCCGATAAGTGTGTCCCGGGACGGTACTGATGGCAGCGGTGACGGGTCTCAGAACGGTATGTCTCATTTGTCGGAAACTTCCCCACTGTGGGATGAATAAAGGATCTCCTAATCTCAATCATGTATTTATAGAGAAGATGAGATAAACTTTACTGATCTCACAATGGAGAGATTTACATTTGGCATAGATAGAATCACTCAGATTGTGCAGAAGACAGAAGTGTGAAATAAGTTAAGGTTAAAAATATAGTCTATCCAGTATATATTATGCACAATAAAAAAGTGGCATTAGTTCTATAGTTCTAGTGCAGGTCATTAGTGACTTATTGTACAGTCTGGGATAAAGGCCCCGCGGTAGCGCTCCTTCTTACACTGAGGGTGCCTCAGTCTTCCACTGAAGGAGCTCCTCAGCTCCTCTACAGTCCTGTGCAGTGGGTGGGAGGTGTTGTCCATGATAGAGGTAACTTTGACTAGCACCCTCCTGTCCCTCACCTCCTCCACAGAGTCCAGGGGGCAGCCCAGAGTGGAGCTGGCCCTCCTGACCAGCTTGTTCAGTCTACTCCTGTTCTCTGTGCTGCCCGGGGCCCAGCACACAGCAGCGTAGCGTATGGCAGAGGCTACCACAGAGTCATAAAAAGTCCTGAGCAGAGGACGGCTCACTATGAAGGACCACAGCCTCCTCAGAAGGTGGAGGCGACTATGGCCCTTCTTGTGCAGGGTCTTGGTGTTATGGGTTAGGGTTAGAGGTCCTGGGGGTGAACCTGTCCAGTTTATTGTTCATAGCATAGTTTTACATGCTATGAACGGCACGGTGGCTGAGTGGATAGCACTCTCGCCTCTCAGCAAGAAGGTCCTGGGTTCGAATCCCGGTCGGACCAGGGCCTTTCTGAGTGGAGTTTGCATGTAGTAAGTAATGTGCTCCCTGTGTCTGCGTAGGTTTCCTCCGGGCACTCCGGTTTCCCCTACCACTAAAAATATGTCCAATAGTTCTGGCATGTGCCTCCTGTACTGGCGACCCCGCTCCCATCTCTGTGTGGAGTGAGTGGACAAGTGCCCATAATTAACAATTGTAAACCGCTTTGAGACTCAGATCTGCAGTGAAAAGGCGGTATATAAATAAAGATTACTACTACATGAATAAAGATTAGGAGATCCTTTATTGGTCCGAAACAGTGACGCAACACTGACGAATTGCATCACCAGTTACAGAACAGGCGGAATGAGGAGCACACAGCACAAGATAAATGAACAAAAAGTGTAACACAACAGGGTCTGGGTGGTGTCTGCTCCTGCTTTGGTTGGAACTAAACAAACACACACTCTCTCACACACACACACATACTCTCAATCACACACACAGCCACTCTTGAGCTTTTTTTTTTTAATGCAGGCAGTGGGACTTCCCAGGGACTTTTCTAGTTTGTACATCACAGTCTTTTCCACGGGTGGCTGAGTGGATAGCAGTCTTGCTTCTCAGCGAGAAGGTTTTGGGTTTGAATCCCGGTCGGAACAGGGCCTTTCTGAGTGGAGTTTGCATCTTCTCCCTGTGTCTGCATAGGTTTCCTCCGGGTAATTAGGTCTATCCTACCACTAAATACATGTATGAGGTAAGAGGGCATTGAATGTGGAGGGTGAGGGCCAAGCAGCCTGGCTGGACCATCCACCTGTAAATTTACACTTAACAGAAGGGGCACTGGTTGAATGGTCGAGGGTTCTGCGCCTGAAGTTTCTAAGAGAAACTCCACTGCTTTCCCTGTACCAGAGAAAAGAAAAGAAAGCTTAAATCATTTTCCTTTTAGAAAAAAGCCACATGTTAATATTGAATTACCTTCATGCTCAATTTCGATCTGATCGAGGCTCTTTCCTTTGAATTCTGAGCACTCTGCCCTGCTCCAAGGCGAGAAATACTTTGCTAATCTTGGCAAGCTCCAATCTGGGTGCTCTCTGGTTGTCTGGAATATTGGTGTGTCTGGCAGTCTGTAATATTGGTGTCCTCTAGATAAAATTGTCTGTGGATACAAATATGATGCCCGATGCAAGATTGTCCATTTCATTGTCTTTCTTATTAAGAACTGTACACATTGTTGCTATGTTTTCTGAGTTTGATAGAGGATAGAAAACATCTCCAGATGTTTGGCACCACATTCTTTGGCTGTCTCAGGGAATGTGTGGCTGTATCATGCGGAGAAAGCCTGATCCCTGATGTGTCTGATCCCTGATGTATCTGATCCCCATTGTGTCTGATCCCTGATGTATCTGATCCCCATTGTGTCTGATTCCTGATGTGTCTGATCCCTGATGTGTCTGAACCAGGAGCAGAAGTCTGTGTTATCGTTAGAGATGGAACAGTCTGTTTTCCACAGACCCACATCCAAGCATAGTTTCAGGCAAACACTTTCCAACTTCTTTTCCTTTCATTTCAATCCGTTGAAAACACAAACACACACAGCTTTTTATGAGTTTCAGACGAAGCAAAGTCAGAATGGATACAATTTATTATGGACCTTGAAAAGCGTCAAGAGTTTGAACCAGTTTAGCCCAGTGGGTAGGGCTTGGTTCATCCTTTTTTGTTCTGTAAATATTCGTCAATGAGGGTCTGTAGAGAAGTTCGCCTGAGGGTCTGTAGAGTAATGCCGTGTTCAGACAGGATCATGCGTTGAGGTGACTTTCAATGCAAAGTCAATGGTGACGCGCGTCCGAGCATGGAACTGCATGTGCGTCTCGCACGGACTGCACGGTAGAGGCGCAGGAGCGGAAAATTGACGCACGCAGGAGCTAAACATTGCTGAGCGTTTCCTGGGGATGCTCGTGCAGCGAACAATCAGAGAGCTGCAAAGTAGTCACGGGGACATTAGCTGTCTGAGCGAGCAGACTAAAAATACTCGTAAACAGCCAAAACAGGAGCTACACCAGGACATAACCAGGGGTGACAATGGGGGACTCTGTGCTAGTGAACATATGCCGTGATTGTATACAACTGCTTTGAGCGCGTTCGCCGATGCAGTTGTACCGCTTGATAATAAAATAAACGTATGGCGCACCTCCGTGAACACAAACTGCTGTATATATGTAGTCTCTGGAAGGTCTCTGGACACAGAGACGCTGCATTATTGGAGAAGAACTTTACACAAAAAGCCGCTAGCTTAACTCTGTTGGCATCAAAGTCCGCCCGCTATTTCCGGCGGGCGCCATTGCAGGGCAGGACTTCTGGTCTGAACACCCCTGCGTCTGAAAATTAGAAAATGTGCGTCTGGTGCGCGTGGCATCGGCGTTCCAGCTTTGGCGGTCTGAACGCGCCATAACTCTGGCATGTTAACCTGAGGTTAACATGCCAGAGTAAAGCAGCTTTGGGGTGTTTGCCTGGAAGCGGGTCTGTAGAGCAGCTCTAGGGTTCTTGCTTGACTTCTGTAGAGCAGCAGAAGAAACACAGATGTCCCACTTCTCTTCTCAAAACGCATCTGGCTTGTTAGGAAGTTTTGTACAAAAGGTTAATCAAGGTTGTCCTGCACCCCCCAATTTGGGGGGTGCAACAAATGAATGAAGAAAAATACAGTGGGCTAAATGACACTACTAGCATCAGATGGACACAATTTTTGTCTTCTTTTTGAGGCTCTTACCCAGTTTTAGAGCGAAGAGTCTTGTAGAGGTTTGTTTCCTCATCAGCCACAGACCTGACTGCGTCACGTGGTTAAAGTTTGTGTCTTATCGTTAATTAACCGCAACTTCTCTCATGTTCTGCCTATTGTAATCATGCTGTGTTTTAAGTACAGCTGCAGTCTCAGAATGAATTTTCTGCTTTGACGACACATGACCTCATCTTGATGCATTGCTGAAACTAAAGACCACAGCTTTATACTAATGCCCTCTGGTACAGGCTGGGCAAAAAACTCAGAGAATAGATCCTTGAACCAGCTTTTTGTGAAAGCACCTAGCAACGGGCCTCCACAGTGACTTTCGCTTGAGTAGTGCTGCACAGCAACGGTGAGACCAAGTTAGTCTCAAGTCTTTGCCTTCAAGTACAGAGTCAAGTCCCGAGTAAAGACAGGAAAGTCCTGAGTCAAGTCCCAAGTCAAGACTGACAAGTCTCAAGTCGAGTCCCAAGTCCTATCGTTTGAGTTTCGAGTCCTTTTAACAACAGAGAAAAAATATGTGTATGCCTTTAAGATTTGTAAATATTTATCAAACCTTTTTCTGCAAGAACATTGTTCAAACACTCATTTGACTCAACCAGTCACCACTTTATAAAAAATATCCTCACACTCAAAATAAAATAAAAAATAAATTAAATTAAATAATCTACATGTAATACATTCATGCCCCTATCAGTTCAGGTTGCTCCCTTGATAAACAATTGGCATGCATCCACAGGTGTGACACTGGCAGGACCAGGCGGGTGCGAGGCCCTACCCTAGCACTTTATTTCACAGATCTAAGGAAAGTTTTCCCTGTTATAATATATGACGTGAATCCAGAAACAGCACGCACACAGCAGTGCTGCAGAGTAAACTGGAACTTCTGATTATGTGGGACATGTAAATGACACACCCTGTTTTGTAATACAAAAATGATTACAGTTTGATTAGTCAAGTCAAATAATTAACACATTTTAATATTACAAACAAAATATTATTAATTTAACATATAATAATTATATTTTAAAAACATTTTTTGATGACCTCTCGCGGCCCCCCTGCAATGGGCACTATGCATGCACCACTTCCCCACCTCACTTCCTGTTCGCGGG